AGAGGGAGGAGGGGGAGGAGGAAGAGGAAGAAGAGTGGAAGAGGAGGAGGAAGAGGAACAGGAAGAGGAGGAAGAGGAGGAAGAAGAGAAAAGGAGGAGGAACAGGAAGAGAAGAGAAGAGGAAGAGAAGAGGAGGAGGACAAAGAAGGAGGAAGAGGATCAGGAAGAGGAGAAGGAAGAGAAGAGAAAGAGGAAGAAGAGAAGACAAAGAAAAGAAGGAGGAAGAGGATCAGGAAGAGGAGAAGGAAGAGAAGAGAAAGAGGAAGAAGAGAAGACAAAGAAAAGAAGGAGGAAGAGGAGGAGAAAAAGCAGAAGGAAGAAGAGGAAGAGAAGGAGGAAGAGGATCGGGAAGAGGAGAAGGAAGAGGAGGAGGAAGAAGAGAAGAGGACAAAGAGAAGGAGGAAGAGGAACAGGAAGAGAAGAAGAGGAGAGGAAGAGGAGGAGGAGGAAGAAGAGGACAAAGAGAAGGAGGAAGAGGAACAGGAACAGGAAAAGGAAGAAGAGAAGAGGAAGAGGAAAAGAGGAAGAGGAGAGGAAGAGGAGAAGAGGACAAAGAGAAGGAGGAAGAGGAACAGGAACAGGAAAAGGAAGAAGAGAAGAGGAAGAGGAAAAGAGGAAGAGGAGAGGAAGAGGAGAAGAGGACAAAGAGAAGGAGGAAGAGGAAAAGGAAAAGGAGAAGGAGAAGGAAGAGGAAGAAGAGGAAGAGGAGGAAAAGCAGAAGGAAGAGGGGAAGAAGAGGAAGAGTAGGAGGAAGGCTTGCCTAGAGACACCTGCAGGGAAGCCCCCCCGAGGGGGGGGGGAGAGATTTCATCCCCCTCCAGAGGACATCCAGACCACCCACAGGGCGCCAGGTTGGGGGACGGGAAGCCCTGGGCTGGGACTGGGGCCTTCCCCAACCTGGCGCCCTCCAGATGGGCTGCCTTGCCTCTTTGCCTGCTCCCCCTCCTCCCCTTCCCCGCCAGGCAGCTGGGGATGATGGGTGGGCGAATGCAAGAGCCCCAGAGAGAGGCAGCAAAAGGGGAGGGGCTTCAAAGGAGGGGCTGGAAAATATTGACCGGGCCGGGCCATTAAATTGGATTTTTGTGGGCCACAAATGGAGGCTCCGAGCGGAGGCAGGCCAAGATGCAGCGGGGGGGGGGAGAGGCAGGGGGGTCGCGGGCCAAGAGCCCCCTCCCCTCCCGGGCGCCTTTCCAGCTTCCCGATTGGCCCTTTTTTTTAAGGGGTTCGGGGCTGCCAATCCGGGTGGTCCTTGCCTCTGCCCGGCACACGCGAGCAAGCAAGCAAGCAAGCACACTGCAGGGACACACACGTCGCGAACACGCGCTACACATACACACGCGCGCGCGCCACACCAGCACACACACACACACACCCACACACACACACGTACCCACGTACAGAGGGACGTCAAAGGCAAGGCAAGCGGGGCGGCCCAGCCCCCCCCCGAAGGCCCCCTCCTTGGAAGGGGGGACAGGAGGCACCCCCAGACCCATCTGCCGCCGCCCCCTCCCCGGCAAAACAGCCCCCCCGGTGTTACTACGCGCCGCGCCGGAGAGGATGGAGCAGCTCACCCGGCAGAGAGGAGGAAGAGGGAATTGGGGGGGGGTGGACCCCTAATTCCCCCCCCTCCCTGCCTTGCTCTCTCGGCACATCTGGGGGGGGCAAGCCGAACCTCGGAGGCTGGGGCGGACACCTCCCTCCCCGCGATGCTGGGGGTCCCCAAGGCTTGCAAACGGGGGGGAGGGGGCGGGAGAGGGGCAGTGCGGCTCCTGCTCAGCCCCCTCCCCCACCCCCGGTTTTGGGAAGGGACGGAGGGGGCTCCCCCCACCCGCAGGCCCGGAGCGGGGGGGGGAAAGGGGACGAGGCGCCAAGGATGGCCGGCGGCTGTGGGTTCAGCTCGCTGCAGGAATCGTGCCTAGCACAAAGGCAGCGCCCCCCCCCGCTTTTCTCTTCCCTTCCAGGCACAACCCCCCCTCCCCTCCCCCTCCGCCTCCATCTCCATCAACCCCTTACCCCTCCAGAGGTGCCGGGACTCCAGATGTGCCTTGCGCCCCGTTTTGAAGACTTGGAGCCCCGGCAGATCCGGAGGTGTGCTGGTCGGGCCTCGGAGCGCTGGGGGGGGGGGAGAGATAGAGAGAGAGAGAGAGGCGAGGGGGGGGGCTGCCTTCCGCCCTTCCTCTCTCATCCTCCGCGCTGCCTCCCAGCTGACGGCTTTCTTAGCAACAGCCAGTCAAGGGCCAGGCTTTGGGCAAGGGGGGGTGTAGGCTTTGGGCAAGGGGGGGGAGCCAGCCCACCCACCCACCCAATCTCCCAGGCCCCAGCCAGGAGCAGATAGACTGCTCTCCCCTCCCGTAGGGCTGCTCCTGCACTGCCCCCCCCCCGCCTTAAAATCAGACGGGTAAAATCAGACGGGGGGCCCCCCCATTGATGGGTCCACCTTCTCTCCTACACCCCCCAACTCGGAATTCGGGAGGCCAGGGGGAGGCCAGGCCGAGGAGAGATAAAGCCCCCCCCCAAAGGACTTAAAATCTGGGTTCCAAAGATTTGGGACCAGAGACCCCCCCTTTTTTTTAAAGACCCCCTTTTGCAGTCTGAAATCAAAAAAAGAAGCAGGCCTCCTGCAGGCCTGGGGGGACTACACAGCCCATAAGCCCTACCAGCTTCGCCGGTGTCCCAATCCTTATTTGTTCTTCCCTCTACCTCAAGAGCTATGTTTGGGGGTGCGGGGGGGGGGCAGAGATTGCCCATAAATGGCTACTCAGCCTGTGCTCAAACAGCCCCCCCCCCGTTTATTTTGTTCAATCAACTTGGTGGAGTTGGGGGGAAGACAGGTGGAGATGGGGGGGGGGAACCGAAGCGTTCTTGCCTTAAAGGCCATCCCAATTTAAGCCACATGAGTGCAGACTGGGGGCTCTGCGCACCCCCCACCTGTTTCCCCCTCTTCCTGCTTCCAAATGAGGTTGGATGGGGGGGGGCTCTCCACTGGAGCAGGCACAAAACTGCACATGGTCAGGAGGCAGAATCCCTGAATGCTCCATCGGGCCCACAACCTTTGGCCCGTTTCCTTGACCGAGCCCGTTCCCAGGGTCCACCCCGAACCCTGAACCCCGTTTATTTGCCCCTGGGGTTTATTTTACTTTTTAATCTATTAAATTTCTATTGGGGGGGGTCTACACCCTGCCACTCGCCCTGTCGCGAAACAACTAGCAAGCTTCAAACCAACCTGGATTTTTTGCAAGTCTCCTCTTAGGACATGTGCTCAATTACAGATTTCCTTGAAGCCTGGAGGGGGGGGGGAGATAAGAGAAGCTGGAGGCTCTGAAACTGCCCCCCCCCAGGAAGAAAGAGGAGCTGATCTCTGTGGGCAGCTCAGCCTTTTTAATTTGGGTAGGATTTATTTAATCCTTACTTTCAGGTAAGGATTCCCCTGAACGTTTGGGTCTGGAGGCAGGAAAAGGAAGGGGTGCATTTGTCTACATTTTACAGGCCAAGCGTAGGGCCTCGAACCCAGGACCACCACTTTCCCAGAGCCAGAAGTTCCTGCAGGGCCCTGAAAAAGGGGGTGCGCGTGCACGCACACACACACACACACACACCCCAACCGAAAAATATGAAAAAGAAGAAGTTTGTTTAGTTCCTACAATTGGGACAAAGGGGTGGGAGGGTTTCCCTTGCACACTCCATTTGGCCTCTCTACCCCTCCCCCCAAGCCAGAACACCCTACAAGTGGGGAGGGGGGATTTTCTGCCTGCTTTGCCCCCCACCCACCCACCCAACTGCCCAAGACAGCATCCTAAGATTTTTCCACTCAGGAAAGCATGAAACAGCCTAATCACCTTGGTTAGATGCTTCCCTAGGTGCAAAAGAGGCCTGGGGGGGGGGTGTCTTTGGATAGGATAAGGAGCCCACCCCTCCCCCCCCCCCCCCGTGGCAAGGGGTTGCTTGTCACAAGAGGGGGGGGGCTCTTTCTCTGCTTCTGACCCCTCTCCCTCCCACCTGCACCCTCCATCTTTCCAGGAACAGCAAAGAGGGGCAAGGGGTAGTTTCCAGACCCTCCCCCCTCTTGCGGTGCCCCCACAAGCCCCCCCTGCTCCTTTTGGGCTCCAGAAGCCCCCCAACAGACACACACACTGGCCTGGTTGTTGCTGACGCCCCCCCCCTTTGGCTCTGCGGGGGGCCCCCTTCCCTCTGCCTCCCTGTGGTTATGATCAGTTGCTCTTCCCTCCCTCCCTCCCGCCCCCCCCAAACCCCCCCTCCTCTCTGCGCCCCCACCCCACTCTCGTCTCCATCGGCAGGGAGGGGTTGCCTCACCAGGCAGCGTGTTTTATGTGTCAGCACCTCACTCACTGCGCCCCCCCCCAGCCCCACCACCGCCAAGGCCACGTTCAGCCTCCAGGGATACCAACTGCGGGGTGGGGGGGGGGGTGGAACAAAGCCGGCCGGCTCCGGGTGCAAGGGGGGGGGGTAGGCGGGGGTAAGTTGGGGAGGAGGCAGCGGGCGGGCCCAAGGATGGAGCAGGGCAACGTCCCGGTGTCCGGGAGGGGAGGGAAGATGGACGGAGGAGCCGGCAGCTGGGTGAAATAGAGGGGGGGGGGCATCCGAAGAGGGAGGGAGGGAGGGAGGGGGGAGCCACCATTGCCAGAGGGGTGGGCTTCAGAAGCCACCAATCTAGCCGGCGGGGGGGGGGGGAGGCGGGGGGCGCAGAGAGCCCTGGGGAGGGAAGGAGGGGGGGAAGGGCTGCCCTGATTTGGGGAGGGGGGGGCCGAGGCGAGCGCGTGGAGGCCTTGCTTCCCCCCCTCCCTCCCATGGGGGAATTTCGGGGTGGGCTGGGATGGGGCGGCGGGGGGGGTCCAGCCTGCGAGAGGCAGCAGAGATGCGGAATTGGGGGGGGGGAGGAGAGCAGAGAGGGTGGGGGGCCATCCGGAGCGCGGAGAGTCGGAGGTCCCACGGCCCTCGCTCGCCCACCCACCCGCTCGCTCGCTCGCTCGCTCGCCGCTTACCGGCCTTAGCAGCCGCCGCCGCCGCGGGAAGAAGAACAGAAGGAGGAAGAGGAGGAGGAGGAGGAGAAGAAGAAGAAGCAGCCGCCGCGCCGCCGCCGCCGCCGCCGCTGCTGGGCTCCGCGCTCGCCGGCCGGGTCTCGGGGTGCAGCCGCCGCCGCCGCGCGGGGCTCTCCGCCTCCGTCGCCCTCGACGCGCGCTGCCCGCATCCTGGGGGGCGGGCGCGGGCGCGGGAGGAGGCGGCTCTCCGCCGAAGGCCGGGCGGGGGAGGGAGGGAGGGGGATGGCCGCCCAGGCCGAGCGCGGGGGAGCGGAGCAGGCTGCACCGGGCGCCCCGACCCCTCCGCCGCCGCCGCCGCCGCTGCTCCTGCCCGCTCGCTCGCCCGCTCGCCGCCTGCCTCGCCCACCTCCCGCATCAGCCGCCGCGTCAGGGCGGGGGGCGGGAGCCGCGCGGGGGGCGGGGGGACCCGGGCCCGCGCGGGAGGGGCCGCCTCTGGAGAGGGGGGGGCGCCAGGCCGAGGAGCCCCTTCTGGGAGGAGGGGGCGCCTCTGGAGAGGGGGGGGCGCCAGGCCGAGGAGCCCCTTCTGGAAATTAGGGAGGAGGGGGCGCCAGGCCGAGGAGCCCCTTCTGGGAGGAGGGGGTGCCTCTGGAGAGGGTGGGGGCGCCAAGCCGAGGAGCCCCTTCTGGGACGAGGGGGCGCCTCTGGAGAGGGGGGGGCGCCAGGCCGAGGAGCCCCTTCTGGAAATGAGGGAGGAGGGGGCGCCAGGCCGAGGAGCCCCTTCTGGGAGGAGGGGGTGCCTCTGGAGAGGGTGGGGGCGCCAAGCCGAGGAGCCCCTTCTGGGACGAGGGGGCGCCTCTGGAGAGGGGGGGGCGCCAGGCCGAGGAGCCCCTTCTGGAAATGAGGGAGGAGGGGGCGCCAGGCCGAGGAGCCCCTTCTGGGAGGAGGGGGTGCCTCTGGAGAGGGTGGGGGCGCCAAGCCGAGGAGCCCCTTCTGGGAGGAGGGGGCGCCTCTGGAGAGGGGGGGCGCCAGGCCGAGGAGCCCCTTCTGGAAATGAGGGAGGAGGGGGCGCCAGGCCGAGGAGCCCCTTCTGGGAGGAGGGGGCGCCTCTGGAGAAGGTGGGGGTGCCAGGCCGAGGAGCCCCTTCTGGAAGAGATTTGAGGAGGGGGCGGCTCTGGAGAGGGTGGGGGGATACGAGGCTGAGGAGCCCCTTCTGGAAGAGATTTGAGGAGGGGGTGCCTCTGCAGAGGGTGAGGGGCGCCAGGCCGAGGAGCCCCTTCTGGAAGAGGGAGGGGGCACCTCTGCAGAGGGTGGGGGCATGAGGCCGGGGAAAGAACCCCAGACCCCCCAAGGGGCAGGATCCCTTCGAGGCCGAGGAGCCCCTTCTGGAAGAGATTGAGGAGGGGGCGCCTCCGGAGAGGGTGGGGGGGCGTGTGTCCGTGGGAAGCAGGCGAGCCGCACAGTCCGGACCCCCAAGTGGTGGGGTCTCCTTAAGGCCACGAGCCCCTCCAGGATGAGAGGGGAGCAATTGAGGAGGGTCCCGCTCCCAAAGGGACGGCCAGACCCTTCCCTATGTTTCCCTTCCCCTTGGGGTGTGTGTGTGTGTGTGTAGGGGGGGGCTACCACCTCTGGATGCAGAATGATGGCTGGCTGGCTGGCAAATGGGTGGTGGGCATCTCTCTCATTCTCCAGGATTCGAACCTTCTTCCCAGCCAACTGGGCACCTGAGCTGGGGTTTTGACACGGGCTGAATCCAGACTGTTGTTAACCTGGTTAGGCTTTGGCATGGTGTGCTAATGGGGGCGGGGAAGGGTCTTCGCTGCTGGGGGGGTCACTGAGCATCAATTGACTGATCAGACCCGGCCATTTCTGGACATATGTCTATCCAACTGGACACCCCCTGCACAGACACCCCTCCTAGTAACACATCTGGCACAGCTGCCTGCCCTGATCTGGTGTCCCCACCACCACCACATGGGGCTTCTGCTTCCAGAGCGCAGCACAGGGAATTCTGGGAGTTGTAGCGCCACCATCTGGAGGGCCAGGGGTTGGGGAAGTTGTCTCCAAACCGCCCATGTTGCTGGCCCTCTAATCTTCCGAAAAAACAGAAGCCCGAGGTCAAAACTGGGCTTGAATCTCAGGCGACGGGCTAATTAGATTAACCGTGGCTTGTTAAATAAGCCACTGTCGTCCACCCGCAATCCTAAACCATCATTTGTGGTTTATCATCATCACCTCAAATATAGCTGTTGGGTTAGCACCCAACCCGTGAAGTTCAAGTAGACATGCAACGCTGGAATACGAGCTCTGAGTAGGCCAAGGTAGAATACAGAATAATAAAGTTGGAAGGGACCTTGGAGGTCATCAGGTCCAACCCCCTGCTCAACTGGTATAGGGTTACCTGCCTGAGCAGGGGGTTGGACTTGATGACCTCCAAGGTCCCTTCCAACATTATTATTATTATCTCAATCATCACACAGTCAGCCAGATGTTCAGACTGGATTTGGCATTTTGTCTACCTATCGAATCCTTACCCAGGACCTGGGATAGGCAGATGTGGATGTTTGATGGTATTACAGGTATCGTCGCAGGATGGAAGCAGTTCCTAATAAGGCCGCCTTTTGCAATTGACTAATAGCAAATTTGTCAATGCCAATGGTGTTCAAGTGGTGCTCCAGTTGTTTTGGGATTGCGCCAAAGGAGCCTATGACTATTGGTACTACCCTTGCTTGCTTTTGCCACAGTCTTTCTATTTCTATTTGTAGGTCTTGGTATTTTGTTATCTTCTCCAGTTCTTTCTCTTCTATTCTGCTGTCTCCAGGCACTGCCACGTCCACTATCCAGACTTTTTTGTCTTTCTTATCGACAATTGTTAAGTCATTATTATTGTTGTTGCTGTTGTTGTTATTATTACTATTACTATTATTATTATTATTATTATGGATCATTGCACAGTCAGCCAGATGTTCAGACTGGATTTGGCATATTTGTCTACCTATCGAGTCCTTACCCAGGACCTGGGATAGGCAGATGTGGGTGTTTGATGGTATTACAGGTATCGTCGCAGGATGGAGGCAGTTCCTAATAAGGCCGCCATTTGCAATTGACTAATAGCGAATTTGTCAATGCCGATGATGGTGTTCAAGTGGTGCTCCAGTTGTTTTGGGATTGCACCCAAGGAGCCTATGACTATTGGTACTAAAAACTTCCAGTGTTCCTTCTTTCGTCCTCCTTCTCCTTCCTCCCTCCTCCTAATTAACCAGTGGAACAACCTGCCTCCAGAATGCTCCAACACTGGAAGTTTTTAAAAAGAGACTGGACAGCCATTTGCCTGAAATGGTGTAAGATTTCCTGCCTGAGCAGGGGATTGGACTTGATGACCTCCAAGGCCCCTTCCAAGTTTATCATTATTATTACATTAATTGTCTTCCTTCTCTTCATCCTACTTCTCCATCCCTTCTCCTCCTTCCTTCCTTCCTTCTCCTGCTCCTGCTCCTCTCCTCCTTCTACTCCTCCTTCCTCTCCTCCTCCTCCTCCTCCCCCTCCCCCCTCCCAAGAAGAAGTCCAGCCTTTGACTTGCAAAGACCTCCAGGGTGAGGCCTGGTCAGATCCAAGAGGGACCTGCTCCTGTTCTAGGGGGGGGGGGGCTCCTCCCCATCTACTGCCCCACACAACAGGAAGTGACCCCCTCCCCTTTGTCCCTTTCCTCCAGTGTTGCCTTGCCCACCTCCCGGAGGAGGCCCGCAAGCTGGGAGCAATGCAGGCCTGGCTGATACTAATTAGCAAGTACTTCTCACCTCTTCGTTCCTATCAACCACCTGCCCCCTTCCCACCTCCCTCTCTTCCTGCCCTGCCGCCCCCCCCAGCGAAGACCCGGTGCCCCCCCTCCAGCTGGCATGGTTCCAGCTTTTTTCCTGGGCACCTTCGCACCTTGTCGGGTGTGTAACACGAGGGCTGCTTGCTGTTCCGGGCTGGCAGGAGCTGTTTGTTCAGCCCTTACCTGGCCCACAGGTGTGAAAAACGATTGGAGGAAAGATTAATTTGCCTTCAGCAGAAAGGGCCCCCCCCCCCAGCTCCAAATCTTGCGGAAAACGAAAGGACTCTTACGAATTCCAGAGGGTTTTAGCAGAGAGATTTATTGCGCAGGTTCAGAAGCAACAGCAACAAGCAATTCTGAACCCCAGGGCGGGTTCAGACTTCAGTTTTATAGTTTCTTTTTTTCTCAGCAACAAAGGAATACACACTGAAATACACATTGTAATACATGAGGTTCGTTTCTCACAGGTATACAATGGAGAGTTTGCTACATACATTGTATCCAAGTGCAATGCACATTAGGTTAGTCCAGTGCTTCTCAACCTGTGGGTCGGGACCCCATTTGGGGTGGAACGACCATTTCACGGGGGTCGCCAAACAACACAGTCCACCATTTTTTCCCCCTTTGCCTTAGCTGTGCTCCTCCCTTTGATTCTATTGGCTTTTGAAAGCCAATAGAAGAGACTCTCTTGAATAGAGTCTAATTCGATTGGCTTTCCAAAGCCAATAGGAATTGTCCAGGCTGTCTCTGCCCTGCTGAGCCCGCCAAAAGTCCCAGTCTGCAAACGGTGCTCCACCAGTTGAGTAGTCCTCGACTTACGACCGGTTGAGTAGTCCTCGACTTACGACCGGTTGGGGGTCGCGGCATTAAAAAGGTTGAGAACCACTGGGTTAGTCACATACTACTAACACAGCACTATTCCAGTAATTATGCAGACACATCATTATTCTAGTGCAGTGGTTCTCAACCTTTTTAATGCCGCGACCCCCCCCCAACCGGTTGTAAGTCGAGGACTACTCAACCGGTCGTAAGTCAAGGACTACTCAACTGGTGCAGCACCGTTTGCAGAATGGGGCTTTTGGCGGGCTCAGCAGGGCAGAGACAGCCTGGACCATTCCTATTGGCTTTGGAAAGCCAATAGAATTAGACTCTATTCAAGAGAGTCTATTCTATTGGCTTTCAAAAGCCAATAGAATAAAAGGGAGTAGCACAGCTAAGAAAAAGAAAACAATGGCGGAAAAGAAGGCGACCTAAAAAATGGGGGAACCCGTGGAGTCTTTGGCGACCCCCGTGAAATGGTCGTTCGACCCCAAATGGAGTCCCGACCCACAGGTTGAGAACCTCTGTTCTAGTGATTGTTCATTATTCCACATTATCTGGGTTTGAAAACACCGGTGCCCGTCGCACATGGATGTGTACAGAACGTGTGTGAGCAGGGGGACTGTGCCAAGCAAGCGTTTGATCTCCACTCCCTCCCTGCCCAGAATTTAAACCGGCCGATCCACCTCCGGATCTGTCGGAGGAGAGAATTAGGAGAGAATTAAAGGGCAGAAAAGTCAAATAATCATCCATCTTGCCCTTTCTCAGGAGTTCCTCTGTGGATTTAGATCAGGGGTCTTCAAACTGGGCCCTTTGGTGACTGGTGGACTTCAGCTCCCAGAATTCCTCAGCCAGGCACAAGGAATTCTGGGAGTTGAAGTTCACCAGTCATCAACGGGCCCAGCTTGAAGACACCTGATTTGGATTTACACCTAAAACAGGAAAGGTTTTTTTAAAAAGCAGGAATGGCCACTCTTGGCCCCTTTAAGACCGGTGGACTTCAACTCCCAGAATCCCACTGTTCTTAAAGGGGCCAAGGTTGGAAACCCCTGCTTTAGTTGAAAGCAGGGGTCCACAACCTTGGCCCCTTTAAGAATGGTGGACTTCAACTCCCAGAATCCCATTGTTCTTAAAGGGGCCAAGGTTGGACACCCCCTGCTTTAGTTGAAAGCAGGGGTCCGCAACCCTGGCCCCCTTTAAGACTTGTGGACTTCAACTCCCAGAATTCCTCAGCCAGGCACACTGGCTTAGTAATTCTGGGAGTTGAAGTCCACAAGTCATCAAAAGTTTGAAGAACTCTGTTCTAGAGTGTAGTGGTTGTGCACAGGGAAGGGAGGTTGTCAGGACAGCCTCGGGGTCAAGATGCAGGTCCTGCGAAGGGTCTGAGGGCGGCCAAGCCTGCTTCGCTGGGGGGGGGGGTCCTGAAGCTCCTTTGCAGGGATGGGGGCTAAAGCTGGCTTCAGACACCGTGCAGGGGCGGGCTGGAAAGGAATTGGGAAATTGGGGGGCTGAGCGTGGGTGACTGATGACTTTTTGGATTTTGGGGCGAGGGGGCGAAAAGGCTTGGGGGGCGGGGGGGCCTTTGGAAGGTGGTCCCAGGGATGACCACTTTGCTTCTGTCTTGCAGCCTGCTGGTGCCCCCTGGTGGCAGAGTGCGCCTGCGCGGGGAGGGGGACTCCGGGCCAGCAATGGAGGGGGGGGGGGGCTTCTCTGTGGTGTCTTGTCCTTTGTTGGTGGAAGGAAGTGAGAACCGAGGAGGCAAGAAGGGAGGTGGAAGAAAGAAAAAGGGAGGGAGGGAGGAAAAAGGAAGGAAGAATGGAGGGAGAAAAGGGAGGGAAGGAGGAAGGAAGGAAGGAAGAATGGAAGGAGAAAAGGGAGGGAGGGAAGAGGGAGGGAGGGAGGAAGAAAGGAAGGAAGGAAGGAGAAAAAGGAGTAAGGGAGGAAGGAAGGAGAAAAGGGAGGGAGGAAGGAAGGAAGAATGGAAGGAGAAAAGGGAGGGAGGGAGGAAGGGAGGAGAAAAAGGAGGGAGGGAGGAAAGAAGGAAGGAAGGAGAAAAGGGAGGAAGGGAGAAAAGGGAGGGAGGAAGGAAGGAAGAATGGAAGGAGAAAAGGGAGGGAAGGAGAGAGGGAGGAAGGAAGGGAGGGAGGGAGGAAAGAAGGAGAAAAAGGAGGGAGGGAGGAAAGGAAGGAAGGAGAAAAGGGAGGGAGGAAGGAAGGAGGAAAGGGAGGGAAGGAGGAAGGAAGGAAGGAAGGAAGAATGGAAGGAGAAAAGGGAGGGAGGGAAGAGGGAGGGAGGGAGGAAGGAAGGAAGGAAGGAGAGGGAGGGAGGGAGGAAAGAAGGAGGTCAGTAGTCCAGGCCAGCAATCCCGGTGCCCACCTGCCTACCTGCGAGGGAGTTCTCTCTGCCCACCTCCCAGCCCAGCATGATGGATGTGCAGATTGCCTGAAGGGGACAACAGAGGGGAGGGAGGGAGGGAGGGAGCAACCAGTGGCCCAAGCTGCCCCCCCCACACCTCTGGCCTCCTCCACCTCACAATCCCTGGGAGGGGGGGGCTCAATCGCATCACAAACCCTGCTTGGGCCAGCCCCATCCTGGGCTCTCCAGCCGGGGGCCCCCAGCCCTGCCCGGGCCTGCAGCCCCTGTGCCAAGCAAGGGGGGGCAGAGGGGATGTCCGGCTCAGCCGGTCAGCTGCTGGCCCAGTCGCCTCTCCCATGGGGGACCCCAGCCTCCTGTGCCACCCACCCCCCGAGGGCTGCTGCTTGGAGCTCCACGAGACGGTGGCCGTCCTGCTGGCCTTGATCCTGGTGGTGCAACTGGCCCTCAAGCTGGCCACCGTGGTGAGGGACCCCGAGGGGCCCGGGGATGGATGGGGGGAGGCCCCAGCCTCCAATGGGGGCCTCGGCATGGGGGGGGCTGTCAGCAGGGGCCCCACAGAGTACGATGAAAAGAGTTAAGATGCCATCCACAGTGGCGCAGTCAAACACAGGGCGTCCTTGACTTACGGCCCCAACGGAGTCCGGAATTTATGTTGCTAAGGGAGACATCGGTCAAGTGAGCTTTGCCCCATTTTACGACCTGTCTTGCCACGGGGGTTAAGTTCGTCACATGGTCGTTCAGCGAATCTGACCTCCCCGCTGACTTGGTCTGTCTGAAGGTCGCAAAAGGGGATCACGTGATCCCGGGACGCTGCGACCGTCGTAAATGTGAGTTCAGTTGCCAAGCAGCTGAATGTAAATCACGTGACCCTGGGGAACGCTGCAACGGTCTTAAGTGTGAAAAACGGTTACAAGTCCCTTTTTTCAGTGCCGTCGTAACTTTGGACGGTCGCTAAATGAACCGTTGTAAGCCGAGGGCTACCTGTACTACAGGATGTAACTTGCAAACACTGCCCAGGAGGCAATGGGGGAAGGGTTCCAGTCTGTCTGTTGTAGGAGTCTACAGTGGTTCTCCACCTGTGGGTCGGGACCCCATTTGGGGTCAAATGACCATTTCACGGGGGTCGCCAAACAACGCAGTCCGCCATTTTTCCCCCCTTTTCCTTAGCTGTGCTACTCCCTTTTATTCTCTTGGCTTTTGAAAGCCAATAGAATAGACTCTCTTGAATAGAGTCTAATTCTATTGGCTTTCAAAAGCCAATAGGAATTGTCCAGGCTGTCTCTGCCCTGCTGAGCCCGCCAAAAGTCCCATTCTGCAAACGGTGCTGCACCAGTTGAGTAGTCCTCGACTTACGACCGGTTGAGTAGTCCTCGACTTACGACCGGTTGGGGGTCGCGGCATTAAAAAGGTTGAGAACCACTGGTCTAGATGATTGGGGGGCTGAAACTCCATGCGAGTTGTAGTCCTGTCCAAGAACAGGCAATGGCGCCTAGTAGCTTCAGAGCCCAGTCCTACCCAGTCAGCTTCATCGCTGCAGAATTTTACACCTGGATTTTGCTTGGAAGTTAAAAGTCTGTCTTTAAAGAATTTTTAAATTATGTTTTTTTTTTTTTTACATTTTCTGCTTTTATTCACATGTTTTATATGGTTTTACACATCACCCAGAGTCAGTTGGGTAAGACGAGCAGTGTAAAAAATGAACAACGCTTTGTGTATTCTAAAATATATTGATCAAATTTTCTCCCTCTTTCCTCCCAGATCTGCTATTACCTTTGCTGCTTTGTGAGGAACCTGTGTGGACGTCAGCCCACTGCCAAAGGTGAGGGGGTGGGGGTGATGGCAGAAACTGGGGTGGGGGGGCTGGCAGGTAAAGACTCCGGCCTTTATTTCCTGGTGCCACCCTGAAGCTTGGGCGTAGTTTCGTCTCCTTTATTTATGAGACTTATATACCGCTTTAAGTGCGAGCACTCTCTAAGCGGTGTACACCAGTAAGCAATAATAATAATAATAGTAGTAGTAAAGTTGGAAGGGACCTTGGAGGTCATCTAGTCCAACCCCCTGCTCGGGCAGGAAACCCTACACCATTTCGGACAAATGGCTGTCCAGTCTCTTCTTAAAAACTTCCAATATATATTTTACATTGCCCCCAACAATCTGGGTCCTCATTTGACCTACCCCAGAAGGATGGAAGGCTGAGTCAACCTTGAGCCGGTGAGATTTGAACTGCTGACCTGCTGAACACAGTCAGCTAAAGTGGCCTGCAGTACTGCACCCTAACTGCTGCGCCACCTCAGCTCCTTCCAAAATTAACATTTTTAATAATAATAAAAAAAAAACATTTGTAAAAAACACGGACACCCGACTGAATGTGCTGTGGGCCATCCGACTGGTGTGGCCGTGGAGGTTTTCTCCAGCAGGGCCTGTTCCCAACCTGGTTCTTCAGTTCTTCCGACTTGTGCTGCCAAGTCCCTTCCTCTCCCCTCTCCTGCCATCGTACCCAGCGTTATGGTTTTCCCAAGGGAGCTTTCTGCTCCCCCCCCCTACAATCCAGATAGACTAAGTAGGTAGGTGAAGGTGGTTGAGTTGAGAGAGAGAAGCATAAAGCTGGAAGAGGCTGTGCAGCTCTTCTCCATCCAGCCCATCTCTCTCTGGATCTTAACAGAATAGTTGAGTTGGAAGGGACCTTGGAGGTCTTCTAGTCCAACCCCCTGCTCAGGGAGGAGACCCTCTTCCATTTCAGACAAATGGTTGTCTAGTCTCTTTTTAAAAGCCTCCAGTGATGGAGCACCCACAATTTCTGAAGACAAACTGTTCTACTGGGTTAATTGTTCTCACTGTCAGGAAGTTTCTCCTTAATCCCAGGTTGCTTCTCTCCTTGGTTGGTTTCCATCCAATTCTGGTGCTTTGGAGAATAAGTTGACCCCCTCCTCAAATACTGGAGGACTGTTATCATGTCCCCCCTAGTCCTTCTTTTCTCTAAACTGGATGTTTCCAATTCCTGCAATCGTTCTTCATATATTTCACTCTCTAGGCTTTTAATCACCTTAGTTGATTGGTTCTCAACCTTTTTAATGCCATGACCCCCAACCGGTCGTAAGTTGAGGACTACTCCACCGGTCATAAGTCGAGGACTACTCAACTGGTGCAGCACCGTTTGCAGAATGGGACTTTTGGCGGGCTCAGCAGGGCAGAGACAGCCTGGACAATTCCTATTGGCTTGTGAAAGCCAATAGAATTAGACTCTATTCAAGAGAGTCTATTCTATTGGCTTTCAAAAGCCAATAGAATAAAAGGGAGGAGCACAGCTAAGGAAAAGGGGAAAAAAATGGCGGACTGCGTTGTTTGGCAACCCCCGTGAAATGGTCGTTCGACCCCAAATGGGGTCCCGACCCACAGGTGGAGAACCACTGCCTTAGTTGCTCTTCTTTCCACTTTTCCCAAAGTCTCAACGTCTTTTTTTGTAATGCAGCGACCAAAATTGGATGCTGTATTCCAGGTGTGGCCTTACTAAGGATTTATAAAGAGGCACTAATACTTCACATGATTTTGATATTCTATGCCTCTGTTTGCTTGCTTGTTTATTTATTTATTTTATGTTTATTTATTTAGAATTTTTCTGCCCACTTGGCTTCAAGATTGCAGCAGGATCCAGATTGCCCAAGGGTGCTGAGCAGCAAATCTACCCTCTAAAATACAACAATAAAGCAGCACCAGCTTCTTAAAAGAACTATTAATAGCTTCTGAAGGGCTCTCAACATTTTAATTGTATGCGGTTTTATCTCTCTTGTAAATAGATAAGCAAACGCGTAAAACTGCTGCCATACGTGACAAATTGCGCCCTGGTTTAAGTAGTGGATAAAAACATCAGCAACAAAACCATAGGACACAAATGTAAGTGTGCGGTGTAAACAAATGGCAAAGTTGTGTTCCTAAAGGAATGCTTATCGGAATTATTTTCACCTCCTCGTTATCCTAAGAATCTCAGAGTAAGTTGCAACCCACACAAAGCACATAAAATGAAACTACAGGTAGCCCTTGACTTAGGACCCAAACAGAACGCAACATTTCCGTTGCTAAGCTAGACAGTTGCTAAGCGAGCTTTGCTCCATTTTGCAATCTTTCTGGACCCACTTGTAAGTGAACCGTTGCAGTCGTTGAAAGAGTAACAGTTAAGGGAATCTGGCTTCCCCCACTGACTTTGCATGTCGGAAGGTCGCGAAAGGGGATCCCGTGATCCTCTGGGACACTGCGACCGTCGTAAATATGAGTCAGCTGCCAAGCGTCCAAATTTTGATCACGTGAGAGATGGTGCAATGGTGGTAAGTGTGAAAAAGTGTGACTTCCTCGTAAGTCACATTTTTCAGTGCCGTTGTAAGATGAACTGTTGTAAGTCGAGGACTGCCTGTAAACCCAAAAGACTTTTTTTTTTAACTGTCACACATTTTCTCTAAGACAGTGGTTCTCAACCTTTTTAATGCCGCGACCCCAACCGGTCGTAAGTCGAGGACTACTCCACCGGTCGTAAGTTGAGGACTACTCAACTGGTGCAGCACCGTTTGCAGAATGGGGCTTTTGGCGGGCTCAGCAGGGCAGAGACAGCCTGGACAATTCCTATTGGCTTTTGAAAGCCAATAGAATTAGACTCCATTCAAGAGAGTCTCTTCTATTGGCTTTCCAAAGCCAATAGAATAAAAGGGAGGAGCACAGCTAAGGAAAAGGGGGAAAAAAATGGCAGACTGCGTTGTTTGGTGACCCCCGTGAAATGGTCGTTCGACCCCAAATGGGGTCCCGACCCACAGGTGGAGAACCGCTGCTCTAAGACACTCCGTAAAAAGGATTCTCTTACGACAGGTCTGAGGCTCTGTCTCGCTCGCAAAATTTCTCCGGCTTTGTGTCCTCAGCACGGACGCCAAATGGCTTTGATGCTGGCAAGGCAGCACCCAACTCAGCCTCTCCTGCACCCAGGTGACTGTTTGGCAATGGGTCGTCTTTCTTTTTTCAGAAGCTGAAAAATCTCCGGTTCTCGTCCGCCCAGTGAAGAAAGTTTACCCCCGAAAGCCATCGATACAATTCTCCGAAGATGATCCCCCGCGACGCCGACGCAGCCGATCGCCGCAACGACGCTGTCTCCAGTGTACCCTGGAGCCGGTCAAGGTCACCATGAACTTGGAAAATGGGCACTTCCGATGCAGGGAACACCATCACCGACACTTGTATCCCGATTATCCGCCATGCAGCTCACCCCATTATTACAACTGCGAATGTGACATCCGGCCTCGGCCCCGCACCTCCTCAGCCCCCTCAGCCTATCCTGCCCCCCGTTTCCGGGATGTTGCTGTTGGGACTTCCGACCAGGTTGTTACTATGCCTGAGGAACGGCGGAATACCTTGGTGCCTGCCGAACCGTATGTACGGGCCCCAGTGGGGGAGCCTCAGCGTCGCTCCATAGCCAGCGGCCAGGAGGCAGACTATCCTGTTTCCCGGCGTCCTGCCAGAGTGTACATCTACCCCGTCCACCCTCAGACCCCACCGGGGAGTCGGTCGCCGAGCCCTGAAAGGGCCCACCGGCGACGGACACTCAGCCAGGATGAACAGGCAGAGTACGAAGCGCGTGAAGCACGTGAGTCGCGCCGAGCACGGGAATCGGAGACACCGACCCCTGCGATGCAACAGCTGCAAGTCCCAGCCGGGGGTCCTCCTCGGTTCCATAACGTGGTCAACACCCTCATGCAAACAGGGACCACCCCAACCGAAGGGGGGCCAGCCAGCACAAAACGTCTGTCCCGGGCCGAGACCCCGCCTGGCTCCGATTGGGTGTACCGCAGCAAATAAACCTGCGAGTGCAAAGCAGGGAGAGGGAGGAAGAGGAGGAGGAAGAGGAGAAGAGAGGAAGGACAGACGTGCAGCTGTCCAAAGTGGGCGCATCTTGGTTTGGGGAGCGAACATTAAAGGCAAATCCATCCATCCCATTAAAAACCCCATGGCGTGCTGCTCAGTTGACCTTGGGTCCAGCTGTCTTTGCCAACACATCCACTCTGCCTCTGTACCAAGCCAGGCGTGTCCCCAGGGTGTGTTGTGAAAGGGCGCACCTAAAACTAGACACAGCCTCAACCCATCCCGTGGCGGCCACCCTCCTGGTTTTGGGTTGACCCTCCAAAGTGGCACGGATTAAGGCAGGGGCCTCCAGCTCCCAGGACTCTGTCCGCTACCGGGCCTTGAGCACGCAGCTGTGCACGTCCCCACTTGCGCGAATTGACAACGCGCGCAGGTGCTCCATTTGCGCGAGCAGCGGGTGCGCGTGCCTACTGCTCGCACAAATGGAGCTGCGCGCACACACAGGGCAGTGTGGACAGTGGCTCCCATTCAAGACAGTGGTGGAACTGGGAGGCAGGCCCCTCTCAGCCCATGGTGGGCTTCTGGGGAGTCGATTCTCCAGATCTTTGGCAGGCCTACTGAAGCTGGGCTGCCATACTCTGCCTGGCCACCAGGGGAACAGTAAAGAGAGACAGAAGATCCTTGGCTGCCACCTAGTGGCTGTTCCAATTTTTGCAGCTCCAGCTTCATCAGTGGATAGCTTCTTTTTAGGTGCCTTAAACAAGAATCTTGGGGGAGGGCAATCTTTGCTTCAACTTGAGGGAAACCCCCCCCCCAAGAAACTCAATTAATCAGACAGCCCTTCCTCACCTTCCCCATCCAGAGCACCAGTGCCCTGCTCACCTGCCTGATTTTCTCCGGGGTGGGGGTGGGGAAAGAGGGGGAGGGGAAATGCTTGGAGGGCTGCTGGTAGCAGCTCATCAGAAAATTAAGCCTATTATGCAAAAGAGTCACGCTTTCTTTCCTCTTGACAGCTGTCAATCAGCTCCTTCCTTGAGGACTGAATGTTTTGCACAGCGGTGTTAATGCTGATGATTTTATCTGCCTTTCAACCAGTTTTTGCGCACCTCTAACAACATAATTTACATTCTCATGCGCTATTTAGATAACTCCAATAACGCAGGAACATAACAGAATGGTCTTTTAGCTCAACCCCCTGCCCACCAGGGGACCCTAGACCAGGGGTCTTCAAACTTGGCCCTTTGATGACTTGTGGACTTCAACTCCCAGAATTCCTCAGCCAGGCACGCGTGCCTGGCTGAGGAATTCTGGGAGTTGAAGTCCACAAGTCATCAAAGGGCCAAGTTTGAAGACCCTTGCCCTAAACTATTCTGGAAAAAAAGCATCTAAATGGCATGTCATCCAAACCACGGGTTGCTTAATTAGGGTCTGTTGCATAAGCCACCAGATTCAGGCAGCATCCTAAACCCTGAATGGTGGTTTATGGGCTTCCTGAGCGTGCAATGCCATTGCAAACAAGCAAATGACGGGAGCATGTCCGCAAGGAAGCCACGTGGGAGAAAGGCAGTCCTGGACTTAACGACCCACAAAGTAGGATTTCCACTGTTAAGCAAAATGGTTGTTAAGGGAGCGTGTGTGCATTTCGTATGGCAACACAATGCAGCCTTAATGCACTGAAATTCACAAAAACAGCTTGTAAGATAAAATAATTTTTACGGTCGCTTTTTTCGGTGAACACGCTGGCACACGTTAAAAAAATGAAATTTGATGCCCACTCTCAAAAGAAAATATACATATACACATACACATACATGCACACTCATATGTATATGTATACACACATACATAAACACATACACACATATCTACATATCTCTATCTATATCATTTATCTATCATCTATTTATATCTATGTCTATCCTCTCTTTATCATCTATATATCTGTCTCTGTGTCTCTATGTCTGTCTATCTATGTCTATATCTATGTATATGTATATGTATATATATATTTCTATATCTCTATATATCTATCTATATCTATCTATCTATCTATATATATATATATATCATTTATCTATCATCTATCTATATCTATATGTCTATCCTCTCTCTCTTTCTCTATCATCTATTTATATTTGTCTCTGTATATCTCTGTGTCTGTCTGTCTGTCTATCTATATATCTATCTATATCTATCTATCTATATCTATATATATATATATTTCTATATCTCTATATCTCTCTATATCTATCTATCTATCTATCTATCTATCTATCTATCTATCTATCTATCTATCTATATGTATATGTATATATATTTCTATATATCTCTATATCTCTATCTCTATCTCTCTATCTATCTATAAATCACAATCCATTTTAAATACATAGCCGGAAAAAAAAGAGTCTTGAGAGTTAATAGGGTTAAAGTACGAGGACCGGTTGAAAGTTGCTTTTTTCCCCCCAATGCCGCGGTCATTTTGAACAGCCACTAAATGAATGTTGTAAGTCAAGGACAGACAACCTGTATAGCAATGTTTCTCCATCTTGGCCACTTGAAGATGGGTGGACTTCAACTCCCAGAATTCCCCAGCCAGGGAGTTGAAGTCCACCCATCTTCAAGTGGCCGAGATGGAGAAATACTGCTGTACAGTAACTTCCAAGTCACACACCCCTCTTCAGCCTCTTAGTAGGAGCCCCTCACCCTGAATAAAGACCCACCACCACCACCCCAGCCACCAGCATCCTTTCGTGGCTTGCTCCCCACCCCGTGGCCTCCATGGACTTCAAAGCCTACCCCCCTCCTTGCAGTGAGTTGTACTCAGCCCCCCCTCCCCATCTCCCAGCTGAGGCTTATGGGGGAAGGAGTCCAACACGCTGGGAAAGGTCTGGAGCCAGGAAACTAGCTGTCAGTTACGAGTTGCAATCAATGCACAGGTTCAGACGATCCGAGGCTCCCCCACCACCACTAGAAACGAGTCTAGTTCCCCTAAAACCGCAACTCCGGAGGCTTTTGAGGGGGGGGGGTCAGCTAATTGCAATTTTCCCGGGGGGGGAGGGAGGAGAACGACCCTCTCCCGGGCGTGGGAACGCTGCTAAGGGGGGCATTTGACGGGGATGTTGACTGTGGGGGGAGCCCCTTAGCCTCTTCCACGCCCCGGGCTCCGTTTGGGGGGGGTCTTTTCCCCAAAGTAGAGAGAGAGAGGGCTGGATGCCCCTCCCAGCATGCTTTCAAAAGGGGGGAGGGGGAGGTGGTAGCTGGAACTACATCTCCCAGCGTTCCTGGCGGCAGGCGCCCTCAGTGGGCGGGGCTTCAGCTCGGCCAGGTAGATGCAGGTGAGCGGGATGCTAGCAGGGCGGCGGCGGGGAAGGAGCGCCGGGCTCCGCTCCGCTTCTGAGGACCACGCGGGGGGGGAGAAGAGGAGGAGGAGGAGAGGAAGGGGCGCCCCAAAGGCTCGTGGGGGGGGGGGAGGGAGGAGGCTGCCGCGTCGCACCTGTCCCAACCCGGATGCCACGAAGCCACACCTGTGGGCGCGTCCCCGTCCTTCTCTCGGCCGCCTCCGCTTCCTGGTGAAGCCTAGAAACCCCCGGGGGGTCTCCTCGTGGTCTCCCATCCCCATCCGGACCCTGCTTACTTTCAGCGTCTAATCCGGGTTATTCCCCTGTTTTGACTCACTTCTCCTTCTGCAAGGAAGGGGCTGGAGAGAAATACCCCCCCCTACACACCCAGCCATGGCCTCTTCTCCAGAGGACCGGCCCCCCAAGCCGGCCCCCGCCAAGCCCCTCACGGACCTGGACTTCCACTCCGGGGTGCAGATTGAGGAGCTCAACCAACTCATCCAGGAGTACCAAGCCAGGAGCCCCCAGGGCGGGGACGCCCCCGAATTGTTCCAAGCCAAAGATTGGGTTTTCGGGCTGCTGGGTGAGTTGGGGGCCCGGGGGGGGGAGAGGAAACCCCTTCTAGCTTCAGGGATGGAGTCGCAGCGTTCTTAGCCCGGACCCTTCCTCGAATTGGACAGATCAAGCCACCAAACCTGGTGGAATCCGGGTTTGTTTGGGCTAGCTTTGGGACAGGCCAGTGAGGAGAGAGCTGCAAGGACTTCTGGGGTGGGGGAGACCCTGATCCAGGCTGGCCTTTCTCAACCTCACCCACCTCAACCCAGGTGGACTTCAATTCCCAGAATTCCCCAGCCCAAGTTAGCTACTTGGACCAGGACCTACAGGTCGTCCTCAACTTATGACCCGAATTTTCTGTTGCTAAGTGAATCCTGCCCCGTTTTACCACCTTTCTTGCCACGGTCATTAAGCGAATCGCTGCCATCGTTAAGTGAGTAACGCGTCGTTAAGTGGCTTCCCCATTGACTTGGCTTGTCAGATGGTCACAGAAGGGGATCAGGTGACCTCGGGACTGCGTGACCGTCGTAAATATGAGTCAGTTCTCAAGCGTTTGAATTTTGATCATGGGACGACGGGGATTAACCGCAACGGTCGTAAGTGTGAAAAAAACGGTCATAAGTCACTTTTTTCAACTTTGAACGGTCACTAAACACAAACCGTTGTGTGTTGAGGACTACCTGTAACTTCCTGGTGCGAGTAGAAGACTTGACCCCATATTTATATAGCAAAGCCACTGACCAGCCAGAGGTTTGTCCACCTGCAAAAGAAGGATTGGCACAACCTGGGTGAGGAGTCAAAAGAGAGATCAGCCTAGAATCCCTACGTGGCCATAAGCAAGCTAAGTTCAACCCTCCTTGAATTCTGGGGACCCTTATCTAACTCCTAGGAGGTGCCAACCGTTAGCTGAGAAGATTCCTGTGCAAAGGGTTTTAGCAATAGATCACTTTAGTTAGAATAGGGGTCTTCAAACTTGGCCCTTTGATGACTTGTGGACTTCAACTCCCACAATTCCTCAGGCAGCATGAAGGAACTATGACCTTTTTATGACTTGTGGACTTCAACTCCCAGAATTCCTCAGCCAGCGTGAAGCAACTATGACCCTTTTATGACTTGTGGACTTCAACTCCCAGAATTCCTCAGCCGGCATGAGGGAACTATGCCCCTTTTATGACTCGTGGACTTCAACTCCCAGAATTCCTCAGCCAGGCATTCTGGGAGTTGAAGTCCACAAGTCATCAAAGGGCCAAGTTTGAAGACCCCTGAGTTAGTAGATTCCTGTGCAAAGACTTTTAGCAATAGATCAGTTTAGTTAGAAGATTCCTGGGCAAAGGCTTTTAGCAATAAAGCAGATTAATTGGATTTTCACACACGGACCAGGTCTTTCGCCCCTGACACTGCCAAAGTTGTGCTTTTGCTCGGCTGCGACTCCTTGCCCACCCGCTGCCTTGTTCTCCCTGCAGGTCAGGTCCAACAATCCGATGGAAAATTGCCCCCGGTCAACCGCTACCTTCTTCTCTCCGGTGGGATCCAGCAGGGCACAGTCCACGTGGATTGTACCACCTTGCTCCCGCTTTCTCCCGGTGGTGACTACGATGCCAGTTTCACGCTCCTCATGCCAGTTCTGAACGTGGCCGGCGTGCCTGTCACCTTGGACATGACGCAGAGCCGCCCTGGACACACCCGGATCAGCCTCCAGCCTTTTGATGCCCCCACCCTGCAACGCTGGTCCGAGTGCAGCTGTGGGGATCAGACTTTCCTCTCCGCGGAGCTGGTGTCTGAATGGTTTTTCCGGGCGTTTTCCGCAGCGGCCAAAGATGTCCGCCTCGAGCTTCGAGGCCGCGTCACCTCCGTGATCATCTGTGTCGGATCCTACCGCGTCCTCTACGACATCGTCCCCGTGGTGGCCTTTCGGGGGTGGCCCGAGGTGGCCCAGCCGTGGCTGAGCCAGGGACATTTCTGGGACGGCAAATTGAGGGACGAAGACGTGACCGCCGGCTTCTACCTCTTCCCGTCCACTTCTGGCTCGGATTGGTACCTTGCCTTTTCGGCGAGCGAGCTGCACTTGAGGCGCGGCCTTCCTCCGCCGCTGCTGTGGTCCTTGAGAGCCACCGTGGCCGCTCTCCCCTGGGGGGTTCTGCAGGGCCTGGAACCGTACCACCTCTTCACCCTGGCCTTGTGGTCCTGCGAGCGACTGCCCAGCCGCTACCTGGCTCAGGAGGAGAACGCAGCGCACGCCTTGCTGGGTGTCCTGGATGATCTGTCAGCTAGCCTGGCCGAGGGACACCTGCCCAATTATTTCCTGCCCCAGTGGAATCTCCTGCATGGCTTATCCCACCGGGCCACAAGGATCCTGGTGCGGGCGGTGGCCCAGGTGAGGGCCAACCCCACCAAGTACCTCTGCCAAGCGGTGGAAGGGGCCAAAGAAGCTAAACGGCGGGCCAAGGCATACCGGCGCCAGCTGCCGACCCCTGCGGACTCCTAGCCGTGGGGATGCATCCTGAGCCAGCCCCCCTTGCGTTCTTCAGGTAGGTGGTGAGCCGTCCAGAATAACAGAAAAACGGAATGACAGAGCTGGAAGGGACCTGCTCAAGCAGGAGACCCTATGCCACTCCAGACCAATGATCTGTCCAAGCTCTCCTTAAAAACCTCCAGTGTTGGGGCACCCACAACTTCTGGAGGCAAGTCGAAACGGAGGCCAGGAGGACTGGACTCCGTTTCCCAGACACTGGACGTCTGCCAGGTGTGTGGCGCCAGTTGTGGGACACCCAGCCGTGGGACATTCCACAGGAGGGGATATAACATGGTACAGCAGCCTCTGCAGTTATGCCAGAATGCAACCCCAGCTGGAGGACGGGAATTCCACACTTAGTCCTCACAAATACGACCACAACAAGCCCAAGATTTTTGCTGCTAAGTGAGTCAGGGAGTGACTTTTTATGACCTCTCTTGCCACCATTATTAAGGGAATCCTTGCAGTTGTGATGTGAGCCACATGGTCCTTATGTGAATCCGGCTTCCCCAATGACTTTGCTCGTCTGAAAGTCGCAAGGGAGGATCACTGGGGACACTGCAACCGTCGTAAATACGAGTCAGTTGCCAAGCGTCTGAATTTTGATCACGGGGTCACAGGGATGCCACAACGGTTGTAAATGTAACAAACAGTCCTAAGTCCCCTTTTTTTCAGTGCCATTGTTACTTCGGTCAGTAAACAAACTGTCGTAAATCGGGGACTGCTTGTCATCCCCTGTTCCAGGTCCAGAAGGGAAAGGCTTCAGGGGTAGGGACAGTCCTGCCTTCCGCCACCTTGAAATTGTGCCTTAAAAAAAATCACCTTATGACCTTACAACATCTGGTGCCGAAACCAGGTGACTTTCTCTCTGTCCTTGTTGTACGCCCGGTACGGGTAGTCCTCGACTTAACGGCCACAACGGGAGCCAGAATTTTCATCCCTAAGTGATGCGATCGTATAAGGATGGCCATCCTTGCAGTCCCAGGTTGCCCTCTGTCAGAGCGTGCACAGTCCTATTGCGCCGAGATAACCAAGAGTCAACACAGTAAACAGTGGTCTCTATTAAGTGGTGGTTTATCATACACTAGCTACAAATATACACTAGGAACAAGATACGTACACGTGGTGATACAGCAAACTCCAATACACAGCCGTTACAGCAGAAAACAGAAGAGAGAGAGAGAGAGAGAGAGAGAGAGAGAGAGAGAGAGAGAGAGAGAGAGAGAGAATACAGCAGCAAAAGCCTTCCCTTTTATACTCAGGCTGTTAAAGGGATACACACAGAGATACAGTTCCTGCTGAATCATTCGTTGCCTCATCCACCTTATGTTACATTACATCATTACATAAGCGGTTTGGCTGTTAAATCATAACCTTGACATCATCATTCCCTGAATCCCTAAACCAGGGGCCGTCAAACTTGGCTCTTTTGTGACTTGTGGACTTCAACTCCCAGAATTCCTCAGCCAGGCACACGTGCCTGGCTGAGGAATTCTGGGAGTTGAAGTCCACAAGTCACAAAAGGGCCAAGTTGGAAGGCCCCTGCTGTACGCTAATCCTAGAATAATTATTTTTCTTAATTATTCAATGTTTCTCAGCCTTTGCAGCTTCCAGGGATGTGGACCCAAGTCCCAGAATCCCCCAGGCTGCCCTGCTGCCTGGAGAATTCTGGGAGTTGGGGTCCACCCCCCCCCCAAAGCATCCAAAGTTTGCAAAACATTGCTGAAGTTAAATCTGAGAAGGTTATAGCCTGTTTCCAATGCAAAATCATTTCTTTTAACAAGCGCGACCTATCCAGTCACTGACATTTTAAATATTTTAAACATCAGAAAATGAAAAAAAAACCCACATTTTATTTCTTAGTAAAATAAAATCTATCCAGAAAGAAACTTTTGGTTTGGGAAAAGAGACTTTTATGGACCTTGGGATCCATTATATTTTGTACTATTCTTTGTTTAAAGTGCAGAATAAAGATTTATTTGCCGCAAGCGATGTGGGTGTGGGTCATTTTGTGGGAAAGATAGAGGGAAGGGTCCCAGGCAGGGGGCAGGGGAGGTCAATGGGGGGGGCAGTGGGAAATTAATAGTTGTTTGATGCTGTCAAAGGAAAGCAAATATTGGATTGTTATTAGCACGGGTTCTGTCTTTCGGTCCGCCTGAGGCTGCGTTCACACAACCCACTAGCTTAGCCTGGGATTGGGTAACCCAGGTCAGCCTATTGCAGGAGGCCAACATTTGGCTCTGCAGGTGGCAGCAAACAGATTATTAGCTAAAGGTATTTTTCAAGCTTGGCTGCTTTGAGAGATATGGACTTCAACTCACAGAGTTCCTCAGCCAACGTTGCTGGCTGAGGAATTCTGGGAGTTGAAGTCCACACTTCTTAAAGGGGCCCATACTGCCACAAATTTAGAATAGAATAAAGTTGGAAGGGATCGTGGAGGTCTTCTAGTCCAGCCCCCTGCTCAAGCAGGAGAACCTATACTGCCTGAGACAAGTGACTGTCTAGCTTCTTCTTAAAAATCTCCAGTGATGGAGCGCCCACAGTTTCTGGTGGCAAGCTGTTCCACTGGTTAATTGCCCTCACTGTCAGGAAGTTTCTCCTTAATTCCAGGTTGCTTCTCTCTCTGATCAGTTTCCAAGTATTGTTTCTCCTCCTTCTCTCTGGTGCTTTGGAGAATAACGTGACCCCCTCTTCTTTGGGGCAGCCCCCCCAAATACTGGAATACAGCTATCCTGTCTCCCCTATTTCTTCTTTTCTTTAGACTGGCCAAACCCAAGTCCCACAGCTGTTCTTCGTCTGTTTTAGTCTCCAGGCCTTGGATCATCTCTGTTGCTCTTCTCTGCACTTTTTCCAAACTCTCAACATCTTTTTTGTGACGTGGTGATCAAAATTGGCTGCAGTATTCCGGGTGTGGCCTTACTAGAACAAAGCGGTTCTAATACCTTGTGTGATCTTGATTCTCTGCCTCTGTTTATACAACCCAGGATTGTGTTGGCTTTTTTGGCTGCTGCTGCACACGGCTGGCTCAGGGTCAAGCGATCGTCCACCAGGATACCGAGGTCCCTCTCACCGTTGCTGTTTTTGAGCCAGGTCTCGCCCAATCTGTACTTGTGCCTTTGATTTTTCCTGCCTAAATGTCAAACTTTGCTTTTCTCCACCTTGAAACTCATTTTGTTGGACGGGGCCCCTTGTTCAAGTCTGTCCAGATCTCTTTGGGTCCTGAGTTTGTCTTCTGGGGTGTTGGCTACTCCTGTCAGTTTGGTGTCACCTGCAGATTTGACGAGTTCCCCTTCAATTCCCTCGTCTGAGTCATTGATGAAGATATTGGAGAGTTTACTCGGCCTAAGACGGGGCCTCGTGGTACCCCACTGCTTACTTCCCTCCGTGCAGATGTAGGGCCGTTGAGGACTACGCGTTGAGTACGGTTTGCCAGACAGCTACAGATCTATCTGGGGGTGATGTTGTCTAGCCCAGTGGTTCTTAACCTTTTTGAACGAATCGCCCCCCTTGAGCCAATGAGGAAGTTGTCATCGCCCCCCTCCCCCAACATAACCTCTCAATCACAACATGGGAAATAATTCTTCAATTTATGCAAATTGGTTTTCTTTAAAATTGTTCATCAAGACATATCGATGCAAATAGTTTATTTCCAGTCTTTTCCCCATATCTCCCATATTCTGGCTAATGGCACGCTACTGTATGGGTAGAGGCTGCTCTGCAACGTGCATGAAGATAAGCGATGCGTCTTCACATATGTACGGCGTTCTGTACTGAAGCTAGCCGGAGGAACATTTGAAAATACAATTCAATCCACTAATAGCGAGCGATCTGATGTTTTTGTACGACAGATATGCAGCCATTCACTATACGAAAAAGTCTCAAAAGTGTCCCCAAAACTTCTCGCTCCATCGCCCCCATATCGCCCCCTTTTCGTTCCTTTGCCCCCCTGAAAAATGAAATCGCCCCTGGGGGGCAATATCGCCCAGGATAAGAACCACTGGTCTAGCCCACCTTTTTCTAGCTTACTAAGGAGTAGATTGTGGTCTACGTTGTCAAATGCCTTACTGAAACTAAATATACTACGTCCACAGCATTTCGCTCATCTATTCCTTTAGTCATTTTATCAAAGAATGAAATAAGATTTATCCCTGGCCTGATTCACTGCATCTGCAACAAACATACCATGATTTCTGCTTTGGCAAGCCAAGTGTAGGGTTTAACATGTTGTGTGAACTCACACGGGGTCAGGTCCGGAAACCAGACCTGAGTCTGCTTGAAGGACTCGTCAAAATTCTCGGAGATTCACTTCTTAGAGGCAGAACAACTCACTTTTTCCAAGGAGTCCTCGATTTATGACCACAATCGAACCCAAAATTTCTGTCGCTAAGCGAGACCGTTGTTAAGTGAGTTTTGCCCCATTTTATGAACTTTCTTCCCACGGTTGTAAAAGGAATCACTGCAGTTGTTCTGCTAGTAACCCAGTCGTTAAACGAATCAGGCTTCCCCCCCCCCCCCGTTGACTTTGCTTGTCCGAAGGTCACAAAAGGGGATGACGTGACTCCAGGGACGCTGTGACCGTCATAAATGTGAGTCGGTGGCCGAGCGTCCGAAGTTTGATCACGTGACCGCAGGGGACGCTGCGACGGTCGTAACCGTGAAAAACGGTCCTGAGTCACTTTTTTCAGTGCCGCCGTTAACTTGGAACGGTCACTAAATGAACACTTCTAAGCCCACAGGTTCGCGGAAGGAAGCCCTGCTTTCTCTCTGCCGGCCACCAGGGGGCGCCAAAGCCTCATTTTAACTCAGCAGTTCCCTTTGGCCCAAACTGGGCTGGGAGGGATAGAACTTCCCTCTGGACCCCCCCTCGCCCCCCCCCGTGCAAGACGAGGCCCCGCCCTCTTCCCCACCTTTGCATCTGCGGCAGGGCTGGCTAGGATCAGCCACACACACACACCCGGTTGTGCACTTGTGGGTGTGGGGAAGGCAGAAGAGGCAGCGCCCACAGCCCTGCAAACTTGGTGGCTGGATTGCCTGGAAGGAAAGCCCAGGGGGAGGGCTGGGGGGGGGGCTGGGGGGGGGAAGGAGGGAGGGAGGGAGAAAGGAGGGAGGGAGGAAGGAGAAGGAAGGAGAAGGGGGAGGAAGAGAGAAAAGGAAGGAAGAAGGGAGGAAAAGGAAACAAGGAAGGAAGGAAGGAGGGATAGAGGAAGAAGAAAGAAGGAAGGGAGGGAGGAAGAAGGGAGGGAGGGAAGGAGGGAGGGAGAAAGGAGAAGGAAGGAAAAGGGGGAAGAAGAGAGAAAAGGAAGGAAGAAAGGAGGAAAGGAAATAAGGAAGGAAGGACAGAGGAAGAAGAAGGAAGGAAGGGAGGGAGGGAGGGAGGGAGGGAAGAAGAAGGGAGGGAGGGAAGGAGGGAGGGAGGAAGGAGAAGGAAGGAAAAGGGGGAGGAAGGAAGAAAAGGAAGGAGGGAGGGAGGAAAAGGAAACAAGGAAGGAAGGAGGGACGGAGGAAGAAGAAAGAAGGAGGGGAAGGAAGCAAGGGAGGAAGAAAGGGAGGGAGGGAGAAAGGAAGAAGGAAGAAGGAAGGGAGGGAGGGAGGAAGAAGGAAGAAAGGAATGGGAGGGAGGGAGGGAGGAGGAGGAAGGAAGAAAGGGAAGGAAATGGAGGGAGGGAGGAAGGGAGGGGGAGGAAGAAAGGAAAGGGAGGGAGGGGGAGGGAGGGGGAGGAAGGAAGGAAGGAAGGAAGGAAAAGGGGGAGGAAGAGAGAAAAGGAAGCAAGGAGGGAAGGAGGGAGAGAGGAAGGAAAGGAAGGAAGGAATGAGAAAGGGGGAGAAAGAACAACAGACATTTTTGGACTTGACTGTGGCCCTAACTCAAGGACTATCTGTACTCATCACCCCCATTATCAGCAAGAAGAGCAGAAGTGGCTGTTCTCCCCCCCTCCCCCAGCCATTACACCCAGACCCATCCTCCACAGCCTCGAGGTGGCCCTGGCAGCCACGCCGGGCTGCAAAGCCATTAGCAAATGGGCTTGGCATGGCCAGGATGGCGACGTGCCCAATTTTATTTCCAGAGGGGGCCAAACCGGAGAGGCTGTTTGGCTAATGGTTTTGTTCCCCCCCCCCCCAGCCACGGGGAGGGGGATATAACCCTGGCCAAGGTCTGGTGGGAAGGCTCAGGAGCCCGGGTTCAAGCACACACGCGTGTGCACACGCTTTGCCTCTGCTAGCTGGGACTCTCAAGCCAGACGGCCCAAGCAGAGCGGAATTCGTGGGTTTCTTGGGAGCAGAGTACCTCTGAGCATGTTGGGCAGCCTCCATCAGAAGTTCAGGCTCGAAAGCACTCTGCGTATGCTCGGAGCTCCTAGGATCCGGTGCCTTGCTTTTCAAATTTGGCCCCTTGAAGGTGGGTGGACTTCAACTCCCAGAATCCCCCAGCCAGCAAAGCTTAAAAGTTGCCCAGATAGAGAGACACCGAACTAGGTAGCCCTTCTGGCCCCTTCCAACTCTATCATTCAGAGCTGGCTGGGGAACTCTGGGAGTTGAAGTCCAAACATCTTGAAGATCTAATTAAAAAGCACCACCAGCCTCATTGTGCTGCGCAGAGAAGTGTGCCAGCCACGTGCCCTGTTGCACACAACCATGCCCACCCCCTTAACAACACACACACACACACACACACACACAAACACACACACACACACACACACACCCTGCTGCAGGGCATCCAGGGCTCCTTCTGAAGCCGCCCAGAGCAACCCCAGGACCCCAAGGCAGTTCAGACTGGAGCATTGTTGGTTTCTGGTGCTCACAAGCGATGCGCAGGCAGACAAGGGTCAGCAGCATGTGAGAATGGGGTAAGGCTGTGTGAAGGGGGTCAGGGCACCTGGAAGACGTTTGGTGGGGGGAACAACACTGGGTGGAGGTAGGCAAGCAAGCAGTTGCCCTCCCTTTCTCTGGGTTTGGGGAGGGGACAAAGTGATGCACAAG